TTTTTTTAGTAAACTCTTCTTATTCGTTCCCAGCCAAAGTTGAAACCCGACCTGGAAATAGAGCGTGGGCTTGAACAGTACATCTTGCGTCCAAGAAGAGAAGAAAAGGAAAAAGAAGAGATCTATTCAGAGAAAAAGATTTCTGAGGCGATAAAACCAATTGAGAAAGCATCATCAAAAACAAAGGAGCTAGAGTTTGGTGGAAGAATTGGTATGTGTGCAAATTGTCGTAACAGTTGAAAATGAGTGCTTTTCTGTTTTTTACTTATGGACCATACAGTCATGTCAAGAACTGTTGTTTCCAATTCTTGGACTCTGGTTGCAGAACCCAGAGTCATGTGCTTCACGCAGTCTGTGCGGGTATTGCTGGCGGTCAAAGAACCGCTGTTATGCTTGGTTCTCTCGTGAAATATAGTAAAGATCTTGAGCCTTCCCTTGCACAGTGAGCTTTAAATATTTCCAAATTAAATTTAAGAAGTAACTAGCAAAGTTTTTACATTTTCAAAACGTAGGCCCTTTGAACTAGCCAGTAAAGTATTCGTTAGACAATTTTTTGAACAGTTTTAAAGGGACGCGGTGGGTGTGATCCTTTGGTTTGGTTATATGACCGCATGTGGGAGTGAGAAGAATGTCTCTGTATGCCATTACGTGACTTGGGGGATTGCCGCTGTCTTGCTTCAGGAATAGATAACGGCAACCTCTTCTTTGTTACTAAAGTTAATGTTGAGCTTTATTAGTGGGATTGAAACTAGGGTGTTTTTTATTTTCTATGTTTATCTTCTAACGTGGCCTGATGTCTGTTAACAGGGACCTTTGTGCTGATATTTTTCCTGCCTGCTACTGTATTCTACTTGCTGTTGATGTGCAAACAAGATGACCCCAGCCTTATGAACTTTCCTCCTCCCCTCCCAGCACTTGAAAGTCTGTGGGAGGCTAGGGTGTTTGGTGTTTTTCTTCTGTGGTTTTTCCTTCAAGCTCTGTTTTACTTACTGCCAATTGGAAAGGTAAGCTGTCTAGTAGCAATTGGGTCTTTATGAAGAACTAATTTGCGCATTAGACTGGAAGGTAGGGTGTGTTCTTAATGCAGTGAATTTGAAAGCAACTGAATTAGTTTTCCATATTAAGCTGGAATATGGCTACTGCAGACTTCTGTAAGCTTAAAATAGCACAGTTAAGAATTTAATGGCTGTGCGTTTTGCAGTCTTACAGGGGAAGAGGCAGAAGGCATTATACAGGAGTTCAACTCAGAGCATGGATAAAGCTTGCTTGATAGAATTCTGTAAGAATTTCAGGTATCAGTCTTAAATTGACAAACTGTTTGATACTCTGTTTCTTCTTGCTAGCCAGTGTTTTGGAATGCAATTGTCACTTCCAGGAAGTGCCATTCTAGCCATATGTGTATCAGGCAAATGATTGGTTTCCCTTGTTTTGTCACTTGAGGGATACTGGCAGAACACTATACCAAAGAGATTATTCGCTCATGTTGTTCTGTTACTACACGTGTTTACAATGGTTGAGGCTGGTTAGGAAGAGGTTCTTTTTTTAAATGTTTCCATTTGACACTGTTACCCTTTTTCTTTTGATATCCAAAGTATGCTTTTGAGAGCAATGCATGATCTTCCGATGTGAATGTGTCCAGCTGGTTACCTTGATTGAAAGCCTTTGTGGCAGAGATGTGCTTGCCCCCTGAAAGTTCTTTGTTGAGACACCAGTATTTTACTCTTCCTAGGTTGTAGAAGGCCTGCCTCTTTCCAATGGAAGGAAACTGCAGTACCAGATAAATGGTAAGTGTGTTGCAGTTGCTTATTCTGAAAGTTTGATACCACTGTCTGATGTGCAGTGCTCAGTACCCTAAGATACAAACTTGAT